TCTTTTTATTCTAGATTTTATGAATATAGAAGCATCCAGAAATTTCTTGTGGAATGTCTGCTTGTAGGAGCAGTGAGAAAATGGCTAAATGGAGAAATGGCCAGAATTGTGGCCTTTCCAACAACCTGGGAGATAGAATTAATAATTTCATATCAGTTTGTGTTTAATGGGAGGGCAAAATGTTAAATTGGTTTGTTTGGTGAATGACAACGCTGCCAACACATCTTGATTTCTACTTATTCATAATAAAATGCAGAATTTGGGTGTCTTTAAAGTGATGGTTTTCCCTTTCCTGGTGGAGGTGGGTGGTGATGACCAGGTCCATCTGTAAAAAATTAAAAGATGAGGTGGTTATTGAGCAGAATTCTGAGTGTTTGCTGGCAGGGCTGTCACAGAGCTCAGTGTCAGCTCAAAAATGCTGCAACCCTGTTTAAAAAAGAAGCTGGGGACAATGGCAGCTTACTCCTTTGCTGAAATGTTGAAATTTTCCCATTTTGCTGTTTCCCAGTCATTCTTTAACCCTTGTTGTGCCCTGCCAGCACTTCAGAACCAAAGGTTTCACTGCCTGGATGGTTCCCTCTGCTGAGCTTTGTGTCCAAAATCCCTGCTTATGCCTCAGCTTCCCTCCCAAATGTCCAGGGTGTTTGTCACCTGTAACAGAGTCACATTCTGGGATGCTGGAGGGAGGAGTTTAAAGGTTGTAGTGATCATTTAATAGAAAATATGTTCCCCATACGAAGCAGTGCTGTCCCTTAAAATGCACCAAAGCACCTGGAGGTGTCCAAGGTGAGGCTGGCCGGGGTTTGGAGCCACCTGGGCCAGTGGCAGGGGACAGTGGAAGGTGTCCCTGCCCTGTTGGGATTTAAGGTCCCTTCCCAAACCAGCCTGGGTTTCTGTGGACGGGCAGGTGCTGAATGCTGCTCTTACCTGAGCCATTCCCTGGATTTGTGGGATGAGAGATCTGAGGCTGCTGTGGCAAACCTGGGGTGGAGCTGGGCAGGAAAAGGGCTGGAAATGGGGCAGGAGGGGGGTGTGGGGGCCACTGAAGCCACCCCTGTGACAGGGTGACAGCAGGGACAGCCCCTGTGCTGAGGGTGTGACTGCCAGAGTGGCTCCAGGTCAGACAGAGAGGTTTCCTTAACATATTTAAGTCATTGTATGGATGATCTCACTCCATTATTTTCCACAGAGCTCCTCAGCTCACTCGATTTAACTTTGTAATTCGGAGAAACGAAACCATTTCCCCGTCTCCCCCCTACCAAGGGAGCAAAACCACAGCTGAGTGGCCGTGAAGCAGCTCCTGATGTGGGTCAGGGCGCTGGAAGGGTCCAAAATGAGAAGATGAGGAGGTCTGGGGGTGAGTTTTTGTGGGTGGGGTGTTCCTGCCTGGCCTCTCTCTGCTGTTTTTGGGGGCTTGTTCTGCAAGCAGGAGCTCTGCCCAAGCATCCTGCCGAGCTCTGTTGTTGCAGAGAGGATAAAAGACATCTATTTACACCTGTTTTATGTTTTACTCCTGTGTTCTTCCACCAGGGAGGCTGGAAGTTGCTTTTGCAGCAGCAGAAGGGGCAGCTTGGGCACAGAAAAGGAACGAAACAGGATTTTAAGGGGAAGGCCTGATAAAACAAGATGTGCCTTAGCAAACTGGCTTTGAGTTTGCAGCTTGCTGTGCTGCTTTTTTTATAAATCCCTTCATCATTTATTGAGAAACTTTATTTCCTTCTTGGAAATGACAAGATTCCAGCATGGAATCCCAGACTTTTTTGGGTTGGAAAGGTCCTTAAAGCTCATCCCATTCCATGAGGAGGGCAGGGACACCTTCCAGCATCCCAGGTTGCTCAGAGCTCCATCCAACCCAGCCTTGGGCACTTGCAGGGATGGAGCATCCACGACCTGATCCAGAATTATCCATGCAGACTTTTGTTTGATGCAGGTGTCAGTGTAATATTTTATTTTCATGGTGGTTGTAAAAGCCTTTCTCTCCCACTGGCTGTAAAGCAGCGTTTTCAGGTTTCTGACGAGGAATAGTCAGAGTGTCTGGTGCTTTCCCAACTGGGCCATTCCTTCCCCCAGATTCTGCTCTTTGCTCTGTTTTAGCACAGATCTTCCCAGGAATAACCCAGTGGAACATGAGTCACTGCAGGAACCAGTGCTGGGGCGAGGTGGGCTCCTGCCTTATAAATGGCACAATTGTAGATACAGGAGTGCAAGGGCTGCTCTGCTTGGAAAGCTGGCTGGAAAATAGCACTCATGAGGCAGGCAGGCATTTATATCCACAGGAACCATTGGATATTTTGTATATATTTGCATTTCATTTTCTAACCACACTTTTGGAGCTTGGCTTTTAACTATTCATTGATGAGCTTATCACGGGCCGCACCTCACGACAAAATTCTGGCGTCCCTGTGGGGCTGCCACAAGCCCTCATTTGGCAAATTTCTGGGCTAAAAAGCCACCAGCAAGGTAGAAAAGCCTGATGAGGTCCCTGCCAGATGTTTGAAGTGTTACTGAAGAGTCTGGGAGGGTCTGTGTGAAATTTGGGGTGTCTGAATGCAAAGGGCAGGACTCTGACAGCGTTTGCCCATTGCTGTTTCAACCCAAACCTCTGAAAGGAACGAGTAGTTTGTTCTTCCACCTGTAAAAGAAAGCCACAATAAATGTGCATTTGTGAGTGGGGAAAGGTTTCTCTCTCAATTCCACCTTCTGCTCGTCCCTGGGGGTGAGCAGAGTCCCCCTGCCCTGGGAGAAGGGAGTGGGGGAAACTTGGTGAGAGTTTGAGAGTTTTCACCTCTTTTTGGTGCAAATAACACCAAAACCTCGCAGGGTTCCACACTGAAATTGTGAGGAGAGGAGAAACAGGGCTTAGCAGCCAGAGCAGAGGGATGAATCCCCGGGATGTGTAAATTTTGCCTTTCACCATCCTTGAGCTCTGAGGTGTCCTCTGAGCCCTTGGATGGTTCTGTCGTGTGTGTGAGAGGCGTTTGGGCTCCGCAGTTCTCTGCAGCTGATGCGACACTGCGGGGAGGATGTATTCCCCAAAACTTTCTTTTGCGGCGATTAAAAAGCCGTTTGGAAAAGAATTCCCACCTCGTTCTAAGCCGTAACCGCATTGGAGAGGTTTTTAGTGGGACAGCAGCGCAGGAACAGGGGGACACGAGGTGATCCCAAGGCGAGCCTGGGGAATTCTCCTCAGCTTGGCGAGCCCTGCCCGAGGAATGAAGTTGACTCATTCTTCCTGGATGCGATCCACCTCTCATGGAAATCGATGGAATTCTTTCTGCCGCCTTTTTAACACATGTTCTTACAGTTACTTTCTCCTCGTTTGTAAATCTACATGAACTCTTGCTTCCCTGCGGTTAAAAATATTATTTTTTTTCGCTAGTGATGGACCAGTCACTCCGAGAGCCCCGTAAATACTTTCCCATCTCTGGTTATGATCCGCAGAGCCGAGCACAGGAGCTCTTTGTGCTCTCTCGCTCTCACCATTTCATTGATTCCGCCTTTCAGGTCAGCGGGGAGAGCCGGGGTCCTGCCGGGGGGGGCACGGGGGTCCCCCAGCATCGGGGGGTCCCGGGGGGCCGGGTCGCTCCCGCTCCCCCGGGAGCCAGGGATGACGGCGACATCACCTCACACTCCATCAGGGTTTTTTTGCCTTCCCCCCCGGCCCGTGAGTTATGCTCTGAACTGCCTTTTTAAAGATTTTTTTTTTTTTTTTTTTAAGGAGCTGCTTTGTATTAAATGAATAAAATATGTTCGTGTCCCGTCGGGTCCCTGTTCGCTTCCATTCCGCCCCTTTATAAAAAGGAGTTAATCAGGAATGAGTTGCCACTGGCTTTTTGCAGTTTATCGCGTTCCCCGAAGGAGTTTTACATCCTCAGCCCATTGGATCATCATCTTTTAATCCTAAAAAGAAAACTCTGCCTGTGTATGGGGTGTTTGAACGCAGAGATCCCGGCGCCTTGTAAACAGTGTTGGGATTTTTTTTTCCCCCTAAACCCAGTAAGAATTTAGGTTCGCGTTTATTTTATGCTTTCACAGATGCTTCTGGTATCAAAATTTCGCCGCTTTAATTTGTTCAGCTGTAGGAGAACAGCGTCTGTCCAGCGCCAAGAATGTTTTCAGGTGCTCCGGGAACAGATAAATGTTTCCGATTTTAGAAAACGCTGTTAGTGTTTAAAGGAAAAGGAGCATTCGGAGAAGGGTTTGAGTCTTTTTCCTGTTTGTTAGGGGAGAAAAAAAAAAAGTGTTCTTAATTATGACTTGCGGGGTTGGGGGCGATGCTTGGAAAGCTCCTCCAGAAAAGTAATTCTAAACAGTAAAGAAGCGGGGGAAAATGGAGGAAAAATGCTCTATGATGTTTTATTTTAATAATCCTTTGCAGGCATGTGAGCCGTGTCTGAGGGAGAAAAAAAAAAAAATAAAGAAGTTTCAGGGAAAAGGCACGAACAATACCGCTTTTAAACCCAAATCTGCAAACTTCTGAGAATATGCCCTCGTCTTGAATACACCGGATTTCTCTCCCGAGCGAAGGGGAAGGTTTTGTTCGTTTGGACAGTCTTTGAATACTGTTCTAAAACTTCTTTCAAGTGGGAACTGAAGAGAGAAATGTTCAGTTCTGGGAGGAGACAATAAGTTAGCATCTTTGAGCGGGGGTCCCTTGCATGCAAATCAGTCTTTTGGCAATTTGGGGAACTTTAATTGGAAGGTGGAAGCGTGCAAAGATAAGAAAGCGGCATCGGTAGGAGCTGCCTGGGGGTCCGGGGGGGCTCCGGGCTCCGCTCCTCACCTTGCCCGGGGACCCCGGCCCAGCCCCCGGCCCGCCCCGTCGGGCAGCGCCGCTCTCCCCCCGCTCCCTCTCATCTCCCGGAGGTGTTTCGGAAATCAACCCCTCGCTCTGAACTTTCTATCATTTTCACCTCATGAATTTTTGTCGCCCCTTTTCCCCCCCCCTTCCCCCTCCCCGCCCCCGGGACTCCGCGGCAGGCCCGGACGGCGCGGCCGCGGCTCCGGGCTGCGGGCAGCTCCTCCTTGGGATCGCTGCTCGGGCTCCTCATTTCCCAGCGCCGGAAAAAGGTCTTGAACTCAATTAATAGCTAATAATTATCCAGCCAGCCCCGCCACAGCCGTCCTTAGCCGGGGGAGCGCAAGTGAACCAGGCGCGGGCTCCTCGGGTGTCCCCTTGGGGACTTGCGCTGCTCTTTAGGGGCTGAGCCGCAGTCCCGCACGCCCTGGGGCAGAGGAAGGAGGGGACAGTGAGGGGACAGTGAGGGGACAGTGAGGGGACAGTGAGGGGACCCCCCGAGGGCTCCATCGGGGCTCCCCAGGGGACGGGGTCACCCCCGGAGCGGGCGCAGCTCGGCGGGGACGAGCGGAGGATGCTCCGAATTCGGGCAGGGCAGCGAAGGGCGATTTGGGGCTCAGCCCTCGCCACCCCCACAAGGTTTCCTTCACGCAAACCCCAAACCCAGCGGGGCCGCGGGCCCGGGGCTGCAGAGAGGAGCGGAACCCCAAAAGGGGAACCCCAAAAGCGGAGCTGCGGGAGGGGAGCGCGCCCCGGCCCCTGCGAGCCTCGAATCGGGGGAAATTCTGGCAATTCCGAGGGAAAAGGCGACTCAGGTCGTTGTGGTGCCTTCGGAATTCGGCGCTTCGGCTGCAAAATGCTTGATCGAAAATTGCCCCAGCCATACCTGCCTGCCAGGGCCGCTTGCCGCAGGGGAGAGCGTCCCCAAAAGCCCCCGGGAAGGAGAGAGCGCAGCCCTGAGAGAGCTCGGGCTCTTCCCATGGCAAAACTCAGCTGAATTACAGCGCACCTCGTTTCCATTTTGCTTTCATCTGGCAAGCAATCTCCGGGCAAAAATATTTTGATCAAACGTCGGAAAAAAAAAAAATGCTATAACTCACTAATTTCCCTTCATTCCCAGAGACCGTCACGATTAAAATTGTGTTTATATCCCCAAAACTGTCTGTTCATGGGAGACAACACTGCTCGATGTCTGACGATTGTAATTATAATCGTGTTCAAGTTAGATATTCAAATGTAAATGGTGCTTTTCTTTTTCTTTTCCCCCTCCTTTTTTTTTTTTTTTTTTTTTTACGACTTCTTATTTTAGGACGTGAATTTTTACCTGGGGGGTCTGAGGGGTCCAGCAAGGACCAGCAAGGCGCAGCCTCGCGCGGTGGAGTGTAACGAATTCGGAGGAATTCTTAGAGCTGAACATGTTTTTTGAAAAATCTGAAATGGCAATTGACACGGTGTTTTTTCATGGCCGGAGGAGCCAGTGTTTTCTTCTAGAAATAAGAAAAAAAAATAGTCTGATCGCGTCATTTTGAGGGTTTCAGTGCATCTGGAATATCAGGGAAGAGGTGCAGGACAGTGAATGCAGGCACAGGTTATGCTGCAGTATTAATCTTTCCCTCTGTATTTCATCGCTAAGGGGACCAGCAAGAGTGACTTTTTTTTTTTTTTTTTTTTTTTTTCCCATCCCTGTACAAAATGCATCCATTTCTCCCCTTCTCACCGGCGCTTGTTCCGGCGTTTCTCAAAGGTTTTTGGGTAAAAAAAAAAAAAAAAAAAAAAATTCATTTAAACCAATGAGAGTGTAAATAGGTCACTTCAGGAAAGGGTCTGGAGGCTGGAGGATGTGACACATCCCTGAGCTCCATCACCTTCTACCTGCGTGCAGAGCAGCTCGGAGCCACCCGAGCGGCTCCGTGCGGCCCCGGCACCGGGGGGAGGACCCCGCCACCTCCTTACAGCGGGGAGGGGGGCGCAGCCACCTTTGCAGAGTTTGATTTTTGGTATTTTTATGGTTTTCGCCTCTCCCCGGCCGCCAGCACGAGCTGTCCCCGCCGCCTGGCCGGGGCGAGGGATGCTCGGCGGGGCTGCCCCGGTGTCCCCGCGGCCCGGGGGTGGCCCGGGGTGGCCCGAGGTAGCCCGGGGTGGCCCGAGGTGGCCCGGGGAGGCCCGGGGTGGCCCGGGGTGGCCCGGGGCTCCCGGCTGTCCTTCTCCGCCCCCTTGCGCCGGCTGCTCGCAGGGAGCGGGGCCGGGGAGGTGCCGGGATTCCTCGGCAGGGAGGATGCGGGGAGCGCTGCTCCATCGCGTGGGTGCGAGGCAGCTCCTCGCCAGCCCCGTGGGTGCTCCCGCCGCTAATTAGCGGCAGATTAGCAGGGCAAATCCCCAGGGAAGCGTGTGACATTCCCGGCGCCTGATCCGCGAGCCCCGCGGAGCGCAGCCCCGTCCTGTGCCACCGGGCTCTTGCGTAGTTTCAAATATTTAATTCCCGGTTTAATCCCGCCGCGACCGCGCGCAGAAACAAGGAGGGATTGATGCGAAAATCCTCGGGAAGGGGTGACTCGGGGCGTGCGGCAGCGCCCGGACAAGCTGGAAGGGCTCAACCATTTTAATCTTCTTTACTGCTTGAAAATACTTGCGCAAAACCCTCTCCCGTGCCCCCGTGGGTGCCCACCCGAGCCCGGGGCTCCCGGCAGGGCCACGCGGGGATGGGAGCCGGGCAGTTCCCACGCAGCGCTTCACCTGCAGCGTGTTTCCCTGGAGAACACCTGGGAACACACGGCTTGTGCTGGCGATGCCGAGGAACCCACTCGGAAATCCCTGCCGCTCCAGCGCCCCCTCCCCAGGGCTGCGGGGACCCCCCCACGCCGCGGGGGCTGCGCGCTGGAATCTCTGCCAGCGGGGCCGGGCTGGAGGGGCACAGAGGGGCGAGGCCGAGGGGATCAACCCCGAGCGGGCTCATTTCGGGACCCCCGCGCCCCTGTGCCCCCCAGACCCCACAGACGCCCCTCGGCCCGGCCGCGCAGCCCCGCGGGTCCCCGGCCCCTGGCCCGCGTGTGCTGCAGAGCGGCTTGGCTGCTTCTTTCCCTGCAGGAGACGATTATTAATTATTGGTGGCAAATCGGCCGCCTCCGATGGAGTGGTTTTCCCCTTCAGCCGTCCCCGCGCTGCCCCGGGCTGCCCGTGGGCAGTTCCTGGGGCAGTGGCGGAGCACGGAGCGGCTCCAGGCCGGGCAGGGCCCCGGCTCCCTGCGCCTCTTTGGCAGCCGCCCGGCGTGACCCGGCAGCGCCGAGCAGCTTCCTGGCGCTTCTCCCTTCCTCCACGGCCATTCATTTGCCGTTCCCCGTGGAAGCGACACTCACTCCAACAGGTGCAGGCTGGAAAAGCCGGTGGCCACGGCGGGATGCTCGCCCGCCGGGACACGGGGGGGCTTCGGGGGTTCCGGGGGGGTTCGAGCTCTCTCTGCCCGGCCGCACACCTCGCTGCGGGGCTTTGCTGAGCGCCAGGACCCCTCGGAGCGGGATGCAGCGAGGTCCTGTGGAGCCGGGGAGCAGCCCCGGTGGGAGCAGGAGCGTGTCCCGGACGGGCTGTCCCCGGGGCGCCCGGGCCCTGCCCTCGCCACCAGCCCCGAGCTGCTCGGGCTCACAGCGAGCCGGGCAAACGGGGCCCATTCCCGGGGCCAGAACCGCAACCACCCGCCCGTGCCCGCTGCGGGAAGGGATCCCACTCGTGTCGGGGGTGGCAGCGTGTCCTTCCCCACACGCCCCGCAGCCCACGGCCAGCACACCCCGGCAGCGGCCCTTCCAAATTCGTTCTCCTGTTGTTTTATTTTTTTCTTCCCAATCTTTTTTCACCCTTTTATGTATTTTTTCTTTTAGTGGGGGCTTTCTTCCCCTTTTCCCCCTTTCCTGGACCGGCAAAGCGCCACAGCCCAGCCTTGCCACCCCACTCCGTGCCCTCCGGCGGCTGCGGGAGCCCCGCCGCAGCCCGGCCCCGCCGCCTCGGCCCGGCAGGAACGCGGCCGGAGCCGGGGAAGCGGCACGGGCAGAGCCGGGCTGCCGGGGACAACCGGGGCAGCCCCAGCACGGCGGCTTTCCATCGCTTCTCGGTGGCTTCGTTTGCAGAAGCATCACCTCAACCCTGGTCCCCCCACACCCACCCCAACCGCGCACCCCCGAAAGCGTTTTGTTTCTCCCCAAATACGCCCGAGCGTGGAGCGTGGCTGCTCCCCGCGGGAGCTGGGTGATGGAGATGCGGGGGATTTTGGCGACAAAACAAAAGGCGGCGTTGTGCGGGGCTGGGGCTGCGGGGGGCACGGCCGCGGTGCCTGCCCGGTGCTCCGAGCCCTCCGTGACCTTCGTTCCCCGGCTCGGGCACGGGGCCGCGGCTACCGGGGCATCCTCCCCTGGCCAGCCGCGGGTCTCCCGGCTCTACCCGGTCTTCTGCCAGAAGACCGCTGCAATAACAGCGAGAAATAACCCGGGACGAGGTTTTCAAACTGAAATCCGCCCGTCCCGGGAGCGGTTCGGTGGGGGACGCGGGGACAGCGAGAGTCCGGGCTGGCTGGAAGAAATATTTCAATGAGTTGGAAACACTCGAGCTCCTGTTTCACCGGTGAGGCTGGGAAGAGCTTGTTTTTCCAACCTCGGGGTGCCCGGCGCGCCGTGGAACGGCGTCCTCGAGGCAGGAATTCACAGGCACCGCTTCGGCATTTTAGGCGACACGTGGCTCCGAGTTCCCTTCAAACGGATTTATTTTATTTGGCCTCCTGCTCCCCCACCCTTCCCTCGAACGCCGGCTCCTCGGTAGCATCTGAAAGGCCTCTGCTCCCATTTGCAATTAAAGAGTTTATTGAGGAGGGGAAAACCGGTAATTAGCAGGAATATTCCCCCCCTCCCCAGTTCCACCTGCAGGGCAGGAGTGCAGCTGGCGGAATGGCTTCCAGCAGGGACCTGACGCACCCACACAAGTTTTGCTTTGTTTTTTTTTGCGGTGCCCTTCGGTGCGAGGGCTCCCCGGGATGGGTCCGCACCTCCAGCGCGGAGCGCCGCGCTGCCCTCACCCCATTATTTTATGGAATGTTTAAGAACGACGCGCGTTTTCTCCCTCTCTCCATATTAATCTCATTAAATCCTACCTTTCAACCTTCTTCCGTGACCATCTGACCTGGCCACTTGAATTAAAATAGTGCTTTCTCCGCAGTCAAAGCCAGCACATCAATCACCGGCTATTTACACTTCGCTCCTCTCTTCAAAGCGCCTCAGCCCCGGCGCTCGCTACCTCCGCTCGGGGGGGCGGCCAGGTCCTGGGGGGCTCCGGGGGTGTCTGTCCTTCCTCTCCCCCCTTTCCTGGGGTGGCTGGCGGCTTCCCCCGTCCCTGGGGAGCGCTGCCCCAGCGCGCTGCCTTCCACCTGAAAGGCAGAGCAGAGCGGCCGCCCTCCCTCCCGACCCCTCCCGGGGCCCTCCCGGCGCGGCTGCCGCGACCAACCGAGGGGAAAAACCCCGCAAACAGCGACAGTCCCGAGCCGGGGATAAAGGAGAGAACGCTGGAAAAATTCTGGTCGAAACACGAGAAATAGCGACAAAACACAACAGAGCAAGTTGTGTTATATTAAAAGTTATTATTTTTAAAGTTAGGCAATCCCCCCCTTCTCTGAGCCGAAGGGGGAGAAGAAGGCAAAAAAATTAAAAAAAAAGGGTAAGAAAAAAAAAAAGGAAGAAAATAAAGACAGACACTGGTTGAAAAGTTACGTAAATAAACATTTTTCAGATTAAAAACAAAAGCATGTCCAAACTAGGAACGTTTACAAGATGACAACTACTAACAAACTTTCTCTACAGCATTGCTATTTAGCAGTAATAATAATAATAGAATAATAATAATCACCTCTTTATAGGATGGCACCTTGATCCTTAAATATTGTCCAGTGTGTAAGGTCAGTGTGCGGAGGGTTAGGAGCGGAGAGGGCTGATTTTTCTTAAAGGGGCAGATCAGGGGAAGGCTGTGGTGGTGCCGGCAGAGAGGAGGGGGCAGAGATAAGTGGTCTGAGGAAGAGGATAGGAAAAAAAAAAAAAAAAAAAAAAAAAAAAAAAAAAAAAAANAAAAAAAAAAAAAAAAAAAAAAAAAAAAAAAAAAAAAAAAAAAAAAAAAAAAAAAAAAAAAAAAAAAAAAAAAAAAAAAAAAAAAAACCAAACCAGCTCGATGATGATGAATACATTGGAAAGTTTTTTTGGCCCTGGTGAGGGTGTCAGATTGAATGCTCTGTGCGCATGTGCGAAGGTGTCCAAACTGACAATGCTGGGGAGATGAAGATAGTGTGTAGCTGCTTCTGGGCTCAAGGAGGAGGAGAGGAATCCACACGCCGACACGATGAGATCCAAGGCGAGGGCGAGAAAACTGCCCAAAAGTAGGTCCTTTCTCTCCCTTCTTCCGCGTCCCGGCGGCGGGGCCGGGGGCACGGAGCCGGGCCGGGGGCTGCGCGGGGCTCAGCCCCTCTCGCCCTCCCCGCGGCCGCCGCCGCCCGCCCGCCCCCGGCCGCGGGTTCCCCCGCGCTGCCCCGCGCCGCTCCGCGCTGCCCCGCGCCGCTCCGCGCTCAGCGGCCGGGCGGCGGGCGCTGCGGGGCCGGGGGAGAAAAGCGAAAGTTAGCTGGAAGTTGACGAAAGGGGATAGCGAGCAACTTTTTTTTTTTTTTTTTTTTTTTTTTTTTTTTTTTTTTTTTTTTTTTTTTTTTTTTTTTTTTTTTTTTTTTTTTTTTTCTCGTTCCAAGTCTTGTGAAATAATATTCCCGGCTCCTGAAATAGTGGGCGCTAGAGGTCTGCGTTTGGCATCTGCCGGCGGGAGCCGAGAGACGGAGCGCTGGAGAGAGGGGGGAGAGAGACAGGCAGAGACGGCGGGGGGGGAGTGGGAGAAACCCTTCTGGTCTCGGGAACAATTATCGAGGAGAGGGAAGGAAGAGAATTTGTAGCAAAAATGGATCCGCTCTCAGTGAGGGGCTTTGGAGTCGCAGGTCCAGAGGGAAGATCCTGAAGGCAGCTCGGGTGTCCCAGCTGGGGGTTAAGAAGGTCTGGGGGAGGGGAGTGTGGGGGAGTGTCTTTAATTTTTAATTTTTTAAAATTTACTTGGGGGGTGGAATTGCAGCTCGTAAGGCTCGCGCAGCTTTTTCCCTCCGTCTTCCAGCGGACCCTCTCCCTTTCGTTCTTTCTTTCGAGTCGTTTTTAGACTGGATTTTCCGAGGAGGAAGGAGAGTGTGGCTTTTGTAGGGAAGAGCGGGTCCTCTCTGCCCCCGCTCCCGCAGAGTCCCGCTGCAAAGGCTCGGGATGGTTCCTCGGTGATTCCCTGTTAGGTTCCGGTGGCAGCGCAGGATCCCGAAAACCGGGCAGCCTGTCTTTCCTTTTATTATTATTACTGTTAATACTATTATTATTATTACTATTATTATTGCTACTACCATTATTTAGTTTCTGTTTCGCTCTGCCTCCGTGCGAAGTGCCTGGAGCTGCAGAAGTTCCAGCGCAGTCTGTGCCCCGCTGCAAACTCCGCTCGTAGCGCTCGGAAAAGGCTCGGGCGAGCAGCGGCGCCCGGTCCGCTTCCTCGCGTGGGTTTCCACGGGAGCCCGCGGGGGAGCTGGGGCCGCTCAGAGCCGGGCGTGGGGCGGGGGGATCCCCCCCAGGTGAGGGGATCCCCCCAGGTGATGGCGAGCAGCAGCCCCCCCTTGCAAGCCCCTTCGGGGTTCAGCCTCTCCCCGCGGCTGCCGAGGGGTCGCGGGCGCTCCGGCGCTGCCACGCGCGGGCTCCGAGGTTGATTTTGTCATTCGAGTTCGGCATTTCGGAGCCTTTCCAGGCCGCCGAGGTCAGCCAGGGCCGGTGCCGCCCCCCGGGATGGCACCCCCGTGCCGGGGGGACCCTTCTCCGAAGGCAGCGCTGCTCCTGGGGCCGCTTTTCCTCACGAAGTCGCTTTGTCGCCGGCTTTGTCGCCGGCCCCGAGCTCCGGCCGCCGCTCCTGTTTTGCGGCCGCCACGCAGCAGCCCCAGGCCCCGAGGCTCACCTTGGCGTCGCGACATTTTCCGTCGCGCTCCAGGAAGGTCCTCCTGTCCCCAAAGCGTGTCCGTGTGTCCCCCGAACACCTCCCTCAGCTCTACGGGCACCAAGCTGCTCAGGGAGGGATGGGTGACCCTTTTCGTGGTCGTCATTGTCACCCCATCGCTGGGGCTTCACACGGGAAGTTCTTTGAATTAATCCAGGGATTTTATTTTACTTTATTTTATTTTTTTCAATAAATACTCGTTTTAAGCGTCCCCGTTCAAATAATAACTTTTTTAAAAGTCGTCACTTATTGTTTTAGATTTTTAAAGTGAGGAATGATTTTCAGAGCTCTCTTGGCTGGAAAAGCCAAGTTCAATGGTTAAATAAGGGGGAATATTTCACTTTTACTTTTATTTTCTTTCTTCTTATTTTTTGTTCTCCTCGCCTCTCCTTTTCTTTCTTTTTACTTTTTGAAAAGGCCCCGGGATTTTTTTTTGCAGATGTGCCCCGGCGGGTTCAGTGCGGGTTTTTACAGATGTGTCCCTGGTGGGTGCGATGCGGATCCGGCCGCGTTTGAGCGCGGGTGGGACTCTCCACGCTCCCCCCGTGAACTCCTGCAGCTTAAGGGCTGAAAGGTTTTCGGTGCCTGGATATCTGAGGATATCTCAGGATATCCAGGAGCTCGGGGAAGAGCTGGAGCCCCGCAGCCGGGAGCGAGCCCTTCCCGGCGGCCGGAGCCGCGGCCGCCAACGCGCCTGGAAGCGCCTGCTCGGAGGCTGAGCCCTGATTAAAATCAGGTGTTTAATACAATACAAGGCCCAACGGTTTATGGGGTTTCAGCCGAGGATTTTTTAGGGATCACAGTTCAAAACAGTAGTCCAGAGCTAAGGTTTCAATATCCCAGGAGTATTTATTTGCCGAGCAGATTCAACACGGACACGAGTGTGAGATCTCGCTGTATTTTTCCCGGCGAGGTAGCCACAACTTCTTTCACCGCACGGAACCCCGCAGGTCCCTTCCCAGCTCGCTGTCCCGGCTGCTGCAGCCCCGGGAGCGGCTGCGGGCGCCGGGAGAGCCCGCACGGCCCCGGTGCGCGGCCGCCGAGCCGGGCGAGGCAGCGGCGCGCCGGGCTTTAAAAACACGCAGTGCTGGAGAATTTCATTTCATTGGACAATATTTTAAGCAGATGTGAGGCTCCGCTGGGAATTCGACAATATTACCTGCCTGGGGAAAGGGGCGAACGCGTGTGCGTTGGGGTGGGAGCGGAATTCTCCGCGGTTTCGGTGCCACTCACACCGGGAGAGCGGCAGGTACGGGGGGCAGCGGAGCTGAACCGGAGCCGGGAATGGCTCTCGCTCGCTCCGTGGCTCCCGGAACCTTCAGAAACGGCTGTAAATCAAAAGACGAGGCTCGCTCAGGGTGCCGGGAGGCGCAGCAGCCCCGGGGGTGCCTGTGCCCAGGTGAGCGCTGCCTCCGCATCCCCCGCAAGGCCGGGCTGTGCCCGCGGCTCCGGGGGCTCGGCTGCCCGCAGCCCCGAAGGGGATCAGCGGGACGGGCAGGTAGAAGGCCACGCCGTGTCCCCGGCCGCAAGGGCCTCGTCCTTCCGCGAGAAAATAAAATCTGGGTGAGCGGAGAGAAGGCTCGGCAGCAGCGGGGTCTCGCCGCCGCTGGCAGAGAGAGGATGCAGGGGAGGCGAGTGACACGGGAGTTGGGCGCTGCACGCTTAAAGCGAATTCGTTTCCTTTCGAAATCCCTGAATTTCAGAGTCCGACTACAGCACCGAGCTATGCACGGCAGGGCAGGATCGCAGACTTAAAGAAATGCTCGTGCTGGCAAACGGTGGCTGATATTCCTGCAGCCCCGTTTGCTTTTCGCTGGTAGGAATAGGACCGAGGCACGCTTTGGGGCCGGAGTTTTCAGGCAGCGCTGGCGCATCCTCCGGGCAGGCTGGATTGGCAGGAAAATAGTTGTGAACCCAACCCTGCCGTGCCCGGCACCGGTTCCTCGCTTTCAGGCTTCGCCTTCGAGGAGAGAACAGGCTTTCCGTGTAGTGCTATTTTATTAATTTTATTTTAATTAAGGCTGAAGAGACAGTGAAGGGGAAAGGGAGAGGGAGAGGAGCGAACGCAGAGCTGGAGCCCAAGCGCCACTTTCCCGGCGCATGGCTCCGTTCGTGCTCCCACAGACTCTTCCACAGCACGCCCGGAGCAGGAAAATTTATGGCGCTTTGGGGCGTTTCGATTTTTTCCCATCTCCGAAGCTCTCCCTCTGCCCCGTCCCTACCCAGAGCCCCGAGGGCGGACACCGGGGAGCGGAGGGAGGCAGCGGCGGCCGCGCTGTGCCCGGCCCGGTGCCCTGCCCCCGGTGACCGGGATGTCCCCAAAGCTCTCCCGAGCCCGGCCGCGGGTGCGGAGGCCGGCGCAGGTGCGGGGCCGCCGCCGCCGGGTCCCACCGTGCCTGGGTCCCCCCCTGTCCTGCCCCGGATCTGTTCAATTAGGCAATTAGGGATGCGGGGCAGGGAAGGCGGGGAGTGGGGGGGTTTGATCCGCTAATTAAGGTGATGCGTAATTAGCACTTCAACAAAAATCGCCGAGGATTTGAGATCACTTTACTCTTATTTTTTTTCTTTCCCCCCGCCCCGCCGCCCTCCAAATTCTACAAATATAATGTATCAATTGCCCCACTCGTCCCGCGTGGTTTATTTGGGAAAAAAGCACGGAGGGAACAACTGTAGGGCACGTCCTCTCCTTGGCCTGGGCAGGAACTTGGCAAACGGGGGCACCGGGCTGGGGTTTTGACGAGGGGCTCTGGCAGGTCCGAGGTGCCCAAGTGCTGCAGGGGTCGCGGGCTGGGTCTGGCTCTGCCCCCGGCGGTGCCCGTGGGTGTCCGAGCAGCTCGGATGAGGTGCGTGTGATGCCCATCCACGTGTGTTCACATCACGGGGCACCGGCGTGTCTGCACCGAAATATAAGTTTATGAAGTGCGTCAGAGGAAGGCACATTATCGCAAATTCACCGAATTCCCGATTTCACCGAATTCCCGTTTTCTGTAAAACATCCGTGCCGGTGCAAGACGTGTCTGTCTGTGCAGAGGCGTTTGTCTGTCGGGCTGGCAGCGCGCATACAAAGGTCTTAAAACACGCATTAAAATCACAGCTACTGTACGGTCACGACCCAGAATGTTCTGTGCAGAAATCGGACTGAATCTGTACTTCATGTTTAGTTTTTTTAATTCGAACACCTAAACCTGCTTATTTTTAGGCTTTGCACTGGGACTGCTGTGTGAGTTCAGGGATAGCACGGGAGGTCTTTAATAAGCCGGGAGGATAAAAATAAACCCAACATTTCCCTGCTATTAAAAATACCTGGGGAAAGCGCTGAGGTCG